ACAGTCTCTGCTCTCTCTATATGCAGATATTGAAATGTAGACACTGCAAAGAAGGCAGCCATAATGTAAACTTTGGCCTGAATATTTGTTTTTCCAGTAGCATTAAAGTCATCTCAGTCATCAGAAAACCATTTGATCATATGGGAATGAAAATGTAAGATAAAGCTCATGATCGAATTCTGGGTCTTTAAATAGTACGCCTGCCTCTGCAGATTACAAGAGTCAGACAACACAATGAAAACAGTGATTTTGGTTGTCTCTATGATCTAGAGGCTCTGTGACACATTTGGTTATCACATGAAAGTGGACCAGAAGGGGGTAATTCAATGTCATTGTTTTTAGCTACACCTTGGCTATTTGATCATAGGGACAAATAGATTATATAAGAAAATGTTCCTGCAGAGAAAACAGAGGTTACTGGAAAATGGACTTTGGATGTATTCATGGTGGTAAATATAGGATTAAATCCATATAGGCAATTCACAACTTATGAATGGATCATGTTTCAAAAAATTTCTTTATTTTGTTTATCACAGCACATTTTACTACTTAATCCATTTTATAGGTGGGAGTTAGGTCCCCTGACAATGAGCAAATACTTATTTAAATCATAATGAACGTAAAGCTAGAAATATACTTGTAGGACAGCAGAACCCCACTGCCACTATGGCAAAGTCCTCTGGGGAAAAAGAGTCCCCCCCTCCCCAATCCCCCACCAGCCACACAGTGAATCTATATCTCCCAGCCTTCCTTGCAGTTATATGTGGCCTGAGTTCTGGCCAGTAGAATGTGGAAAGAAGCACTGGACACCCCATTCAAGCCTGGCATGTAAACTCATCCTGAGTAATCCTCCACTCACTCTCTCTTCCTCTACCTGCTGGCTAGATGCAAAGGATCTAGTAGAGACCTCTGGACCTAGGGGGTGGAGGGTCCCTGAAGTACCTCATGGAAGGCCACCTGCCAAACATCCACGCTGAACTGTGGGGATCCAGAAAAAACCTTCCACTGTGTTAAGCCTCTGATCATTGGGAGATGTGTGTTATATCAGCTATGCTACCCTGACAAATACAAGTGTTTCCAGGAATACATTGTATGTGTGTAGTGGAACAGGCTGAGAGCAGGGATATACAAGGAAATCAGAGTGGGTGAANTCCTCTACCTGCTGGCTAGATGCAAAGGATCTAGTAGAGACCTCTGGACCTAGGGGGTGGAAGGTCCCTGAAGTACCTCATGGAAGGCCACCTGCCAAACATCCACGCTGAACTGTGGGGATCCAGAAAAAACCTTCCGTTGTGTTAAGCCTCTGATCATTGGAAGATGTGTGTTATATCAGCTATGCTACCCTGACAAATACAAGTGTTTCCAGGAATACATTGTATGTGTGTAGTGGAACAGGCTGAGAGCAGGGATATACAAGGAAATCAGAGTGGGTGAAAATAACTTGATCAAGGTGTGAAAAGACTTAGACTTGCAACCTGAAGTACCTTCTGAAAATTCAGTATAAGGCATTCATATATGTTCCCATTTTTATTATCTTCATATAATCAGAGGTTTTAGACAAATTAATATTTCACAAACAAATAGCACATTTCTTCCTTTGGGCTGTGTTCAGTTAGTTATTAAGTGATTTTTGAGGTCTTAATATTTCAAACAAATTCTAGAAGAAAAACTCAAACAAGAAATGGCAATCCTATTCTTGGAATGACTTTTCCATTTCAGTTCATCGATATTTTTTGTTTTTTAGTAAGTATCCTCTGATAGTAAAAAGAGATATGGCTAATCTGGAATGTTTCAAACTGAGAAATGTGCTAATTATCAGAGCAGCTGGGAAATCCAGCTAGATGGATTTAATTTCTCTTACCAGGCAGGTTAGAGAAAAAAGGTAGAGATGGTTTTTATGTCATGTTGAGAAACAAAATTTAAATTTCACATACAAATCAGCCCAGGCCAAGTGGGATCTGAAAGCAATTCAGCTGCAGACAAAATCTTAAATATTATGACTATATTATAGTTTAATAGTAAACTATATTTATTCACACTGTGTTCAGAACACTGAATGGTCATTTGTGCGGGAATTGTTAGCAAACACTTATAAAGCCAAAAGCATTTTATCACACGTTCTTTTTTGTTTGTTTGTTTTTTTAAAATCAGTTTGACCATTTCAACCAGCCATTTAACCAGGCTGAATAGGCTTACGCAATGGAAGCCAAGTGTCAGGACCATGTTATATGGTGTGTAGTCACGTAGAGAGAGTGAGCTTCATTAGAGAAAAACACCAAACAAGGGATTTGGGCAAATATGATAAAGTACCTGATTTGGAATCTTTAAATACGGACACAATGTGACGTAGAAAATTAGTGAGCTGTTCAGCACTCTTTGAATTTTGATTTTTGGGTGTGATGTCTTCATGGCACCAAAGTGGACCAAATGCCCTTAAACAAAACACACAAAATGTCAAAAATATAACTGCCATTTTGCATTTTAAAACCATATCAGTAGTCCTGAATCCAAAGGTACAATATATATTAAAAATTTTTACTAATTAACTTGGGGATACATAATAAAGCTTACCGGCATACTCGATATGCATCTAATTTATGGAGGCATACATTTTTTATATTTTAAATTAAATTTACTTACGAGATTAAAACCTCCCAATTCACCAGAACAGTGCGTGGCATATCAAAAGTGCTGCATATTTGTTTGTTAAATAAAATTTAAAAATATATAGATTTAGACTCAATTTTTACATTTCAAGCATTTGCAGAGATAGGGCTTTTATCAAGATCACCTAATTAAGTTGCCAAATACTGTAAAACCAAACTGAAAACCCAACTGAAAACCCGGCCTCTGTTGTCTATTTGGTTTTCAACAGCAAGAATGGGAATGGAGCCAGGTGTGAGGATTTCTGAGACCCGCCCTTCCCAACGTGTGGTGTTGACAATACCTTTTCTCTCCACAAACCATTCAGGCCTCTGACTACCCTATATATGCTCACCCCCTTCCTAAGCTTCCTGCACACTAAATCCTATATTAAGCTGAGAGCTGTGCAGAACAGCTTGAATTATTAATTGAGGAAAGAAAACACCCTTTTGCATTGTTTGTATTAATTGATACATTAGTTAAAGAAAAAAATCACGTGAGATATTAGATAACACACATGCAGAGTAGGTTTCCAGGACTTAACTTACTGAGCAAGTAGAGCACGCCCCCAACTCACAGGTAAGCATATACAAACACTCGACCTCAGGGTGCAATACATTCTGAAGCCTTGCAAGCTAAAGGGTTAATTAGAAGACCAGAAGACCTGAAAAAACAGGACTGCTAGCAGTTTCCCTTGACTTTGACTTATTATTAGTTTGATTCCTTCCCTATCATGCTTCCTATTGTTTCTGGTTTCTGACTTCTATTTGCAAGTGATTCTTTGGATCAGATGTGCAGACAGTTGTCCCCTTGGCAGCTGCTCCTGGCATGACTGACCAACATCCTTGGTTTCCAGAGTGACGCTCTTTGCCAAGTCTCAGAACTCCTAGATCCTGGCAGCTCTAATAGATGATCAAAGTCATGCTCACCATGCGGCATGACTGTCTCTAGCCTCCCTCTGCTGTGTCATCATTAGATACAAAATCTTCCTGTCGACTGGCACATCAGTGAGATCTCAGATAATTTCTACCAATGTCTGCCTCTTGCAGAGACTCCAGCTGATGCAATTTAGAACTCCAGGATCACTTTTCCATCTGTGTGGTTTAAAGTGTTGGCACTTTTCCAAAAGACTGACCTGAAAACAGCATGATTTCTAACTCCTCATTACCTGGTCGTCAGAAACTCAATGAGCTTGTTTGCCTTTTCATCTGCCTCTGCAGCTGCGTCCACGTCGTCTACCTCTTGGGTCATCTGCGGGAGGTTCCCACTGCTGCCTCCCAGGCTGATGCTGGAGGAGGTGGAACTGGAGCTCAGCCCCGAGTCTGGCACCGGGGATGACTGGTCCTCTCTCAGGAAGTCAAAGCCACCTGGCGGGAGAAGAAGGTCACGAGGGGTGTGCTAGACAGCGTGCTTGTCAGAGGCCCAGGCATGAGCACACAGAAGTGTGTACTTATTTAAATTTTGGGGAGGAAACAATTGATTTTGGCTGTGGCTATGATTCAACAAGACTGTGACATAATGGAGTCAATTGTACAACTTTGTAAACCACTGTGTATTTGGGGACGGGGTGACCTGCTGTTTTCCTACTCTGGTGTTTTAGTGGATGCTTTCTTTTTTTTTTTTTTGTCTTTTTCCGTGTCCGGCAATGGATCGCAACCCTCAGTGTCGCCCCCGTACCGGACCGGGACCGGCAACGGGATCGCAACCCTAGGCGTTGCCCCCGCTCCTCGCTCAGCCAGTGAGCCGCAGAAAGTGACTCAATAGATGAGAACAACGGTAGAGTGAAGGATGCTGAGAACAATCTGATCACATACACATATATCCATTATGTTTTTAGTTTCAAACTACTCCAACTTTGGACATTTTTTTCTCCTTCTGACTTCCTTTGAAAAATGACATGAGCAAAATTTTCACTGTAGGCGTTGCCCCCGTGCCTCGCTCAGCCAGTGAGTGGGAACCGGTCTGCATGTGGGATCCGAACCCTCGGCGGGAGCGCTGCCGCGCTTCCCAAGCGGCGCACTAGCACAGTGCACCACCAGGCCGGCCCAAGTGGATGCTTTCTATAAAAGAAAGGTATGTGTGTGTTGTATGCATGCATAGGCCAGGCCAAGGAACAGTTCAGCTACAACAGTTTAAGCACTAACGGTGCTGTTAGTAAATTATTCCTGGGTATCAGATTACTTAATCACATGAACTGATACCTTTTTTGAGGATAGCAGTCACTTAATGGCTGATGAGTAAGTTATACTCAGTATTTTTGAGAAAAATGTACCCAGAAACTTGAATATTATATGTATATTAATATAGTTTAATAAAGTATGTTGCATGGTATTGAAAGAAATATGGCATACACAAATACTGTTTTTTTTCACTATGTATTTGGTTAACATCCTACATTTCTGGCTATGGTGTGGATCTGAAACTGTATACATGCAATCAATCCTCTTTCTCAACTCAATAATCATACAAAGTACATAGTGCTGGTGTGTCTGACAGGTATATTGAATTAGGGTGAGGATCCTTGAGTTTGCATAGCATCTCTGCCACTTACACTGTAATTCCAGGGAGTTTGCATAATTCTCTGTACCTTAGTTTCCTCTTATAATGAAGTGAAGACAATTTCCATCACACAGGTTTTTAGTGTGGATTTGAAAGCAACTATAATTTAAATTAGGTACTCGATAAATGTTTATAAGAAGGGGTCATTTCCCATACTCTTTGTACACCTATTCCCTGTGTGCTATAGATCCAATCATTTTAGCTATCTGTTGTTTCTCTTGCCTATGGATATTGTGTGCATTTTTTGGTCTGGGTAAATCTCTACTCTAAATCATTTTATACCACATTAGAGCAATAATAAATGCAAAATTGATGTACTCAGAGATATACAACATACACATTACAATTTTCTCAGCCTAAGTCCACATACTTAATGGAATAATCTCCCTCCTTGGGAGTTAGAACAATCAGAACTCTTCAGATTCTTTTAACTAAGCATCTAAAGTAAAGAAGTTCTTTGTCTCTGAGAGGCTATTGGGGGGTTATTTCCAATTAAGTGTCGCTTGGTTCAAAATAAAGAGCTTCAGCTGAGGTCAATGGGCCTCTCAGAGTTAATGACTTCATAGTTATTTTCCAAGGAAATATGTTCACCTCTGTCAGATGGCAAGACAGTGCTCGGTACAAGAGATAAAAGGTGCATCCTTTTCAAAGTAATGAAGTCAGCACTTAGTGACACATGAAACACCATACGTTGTACCAATTGTACCACATTCAGTGCCAACGTGTAAATACTTAGGTAACAGTGTAGCCCTGAACTCATTAGTTGGTAATTCTCATCATCATTTTAAGATATTTTAAATGTTCTGTTGTACCACATTCAGTGCCAAAGTGTAAATACTTAGGTAACAATGTAGCCCTGAACTCATTAGTTGGTAATTCTCATCATCATTTTAAGATATTTTAAATGTTCTGGCTCTAAATGAAAACCATTGATCAACCCTTTAGAGAAAGTTTTCATGAATGGCTCAAAATGGAATAATAATTTCTTTGACTCAGCTAATGCCTCTAATCCCACTTGTGAGAAATTTTTGGTCTCAAACAGTGATAGTTTTTAATAGGCTCCCACTAATGGTGCCTTCCAGGAAAAGGCCAGTCATTCAATAAAGTGAAAATTCCTGCGGGGGAACAGGAACGTACACAAGCGATACACCTGGCACCCAGGCTGTGAGCTACTCTCCGGCTGATGCTCTTGGCCAAAATGACATTTTAATTTTTGATGCATCACTAGGAACGTATTCAATGGGAACAGCAATAATAACAATAATAACAAAAAATGTATTTAAAAATATTCAGTAATGAAGAAGGCTTTTGAGAGGCAAGTTCACATCAAATGAAATGGTGCTATCACTTGGAAAGTTGGAGGTAACAGCATGAGGGAAGTTAACTTGGTTTCCAGTGACACCTGCAGTTATCTCCACATTTGTGGCTGTCTCAGGCTTTCTGCCACACCTTGTTACCTGTATAGAGATATTCAGGCTGGTAAGCTGGCTGAACGGTGAGCGTCTTAGCTTCACCCATCTCTCGAGTCTGCAGGAGTACGGAAGCAATGGCATGAAAATCACTGTTGCAAGAGAGGGCGATCAAGAGGTGGAGCAGCAACTTTTTGCTGTGTTCAAAGACTTCAGGTCGGTAATGGTCCAAACCTGGAACAAACCGGTGGAATCTCTTAGTATAAATAAACGCTAAGCTCGTTTAGATTCCAGGGATAGTAAAGATTCCAAGATACCCAGGAGGAGCATATTGAAAGAATGTTTAGTTTTCTTTGTTATTGTTTGTGTTACCAACATAAAGAAGTTGGGCTTAGGGAAAATAAAATGCTTTATTTCTTAAATAAAAATGTTCTCATAAAATGCCGATAGCTGGACTTTTCTTGACCTCTCTGGCATTTGACGTGGTTAGCATTCCTCCTTCCTGAGATGTTCTCTTTCGTGAATCTCCCTGTTACTGAAGGACTCCAATTTTATTCATCTTTCTCTAACCGAATTTCTCAGTTTCCCTGGCTGGTTCCTCTTCCCACTTCTGTTCCACAATTTGGGTGTTTTTGAAGCACAGTACTTGGCCCCCTCTCCTGTATATTCTTTCTCTCTTGTGTCATGGCCTTAAATGTATCATCTTGGCAATGACCCTCAAAAAGGCCAACTTATTTTGAGTATCTTTACAGACACAGCATTAGTGAGGTACCACTATATTTACACTGTAGAAATAGGACAATTTCAAACAATGATCAAGTGAAGTTTTAGAGCAGATGTCACAAAAGGGCAATGAACAACAGAAGAGACTAAATATTTCAGACAAGGCAAGCAGGATGTCAATGGAAAAGGAAATCTCTATGGGTTATCTCTACGGGCTAGACTTCCTCTTAGACCCAGGCTTACCTAAGAAGACGGCATGAAGTAATAACGGTAGATGAAGAGCCCAGTCTTCTCTTACACTGTGATCCACCACCATCTCCGTCATAAAAATTACAGCAATGTTGCACCTAATCAATAAAATGATAGCATTAATACAACTTCTGAAGAGGATAGAAATACAATGACAGATCAGTAAGACATAATTAAATACAATCTTAAAGTCTTGTTGAGGATTTATGTAAAACTCTTCTTCCAGGGAAGTGGAGTTTAACTTCTGACATAGGATAGAGCTCCACAACAAGAAACACAGATTGCACTAATTGCGGAGTGGAGAGTCTGCTACTCACTAGGTAATAAGAGCTGAGGGATGAAGAAAAATGGAAGACAAAGTCCCTCTCTTCAAGTCGCTTACAGTCTAAACAGCATTACAGAATGCATACCCATGTCGAGATTACATCAGGGGAAAATTCAAAGGGCGACAAGGCAGCCTTGCACACTGGTTAATATTTGACCAAACTCTGCTACTGTTTTGAGAGCTGGCTGTTAAGTCAGCCACAATCCCACTGATTTAAAAGAACATTTCATTAGGTGGGACCTGGGGTAGATTTCTCTCTTCTCATTCGTGGAGAAGTCCAGTCAAATCTAGGTGCTGTTTCCCTCTACCCACATGCTGCTCACCTATGGAGCGGCCCCCGGGGAGTGATTGTCTCGGGGAGGTAGTCAACCAGGGGGGCCCAGCATCCTCCAGTACAAGGCATCGGTAAGGGCTGTGGCTGTTTGGTCTCTGTAATAGTCAGCAACCAGCCCGTGTAGGGAGAAATTGGATCATCTGTAGGGTGAAAAAGACAGGCGTGCTTTATTTTCAGAGAGAAGAGATTCTTGTTTTCCCTACTTGCTGTTTTTAGAAAGAATCTTAGAAATGCATGCTCACAAAAATAATTTTCTAACCATTCAATTTGGTGAGTATGAATTACATGATCAAATGGGTTAGAATTACTTGACTAGATAATTACTTGATTAGTTATTACTTGACAACTAATTTATAGTTATTCATTATAGAGCAAAGGAAAATACAGATACACAAAAATGCTAAATCACGTGAATTCCCCTCAGTGTGAAAACTTGCTCTTCCTCCGGTCTTCCCCATCTCAGTAAAACACAATTCCACATTCCCACTTTGCTTAGGACAAGAGCCTTAGAGTCATCCCTGACTTCTCTTTCACACCCCACATCCAACTCATAATCACGATGATGACAACAGTAACAGCAAGAATAACAGCATTCGGAACTAACACACAGACTGCTTACTTTATGCCAGGCACTGTTCTACGCATGCCACATACTAATGGTCCTATAACAGGTATCTATTAGCATTGCTATTTTATAGAGGGGAAACTGAGGTTAATTTACTTGCTATCATCAACATGTTCAGTGAGCTCTGCTTTCAAAACATGCTGAATCTGAGCCCCTTCCCACGTGCGTCACTGCTCTCCCGGTCCACGTGTCTATGCTTTCTCGCATGGGTTACTGCCATCAGTCTTCTACTGTCTCGCTGCTTCCACAGAACAGCCAGAGCAGTCCTTTTAAAACAAGTTCAGTGTGTCTCTTTCTCTGCTCAACAATCTCCAGTGGCTCCCCTTTACATCCAAATGAAGTTCAAAGTCCACCTCTTAGGCCTTAGTCCATCTCTGTTTCTCTCTTGGCTTATTTCCTACTATGTCCCCTCACTCACTCCAACCCAATTGTCCTGGCTGCCTTGCTCTTCAGTGCTCTGGCTAGGCTCCGTCCAGCCTCAGGGCCTTCACAGCTCCTGTTCCCTATAGCTGGAATGCTCCTCCCAGATAGCTGCAAGTGTCATTTCCTGACTTCATTCAGGTCTTTGCCCAAATGTCACATTATCACAGTGCTTTCTAAAATCTACTGATATAGGAGGTGCTCAGTTTCCCTGGGCTCCGGTTACAGGACATGCCTCTGGGTTACAAGCCATTCCCTGAGATTTCAGGCCCCCTCTGTTGGCCCTCCCCTGGGAGAAAGCTACTGTTGCCAGTTAGACCTATTTTTGGTACCAACTTGGGGAGGGTGAGACACAGTAGGGGGCTGGTTTGCACAGTGGCTGGACATGCTCAGTAGAGAGGGGTTATGTAACCCCAATGGCTGGACATGCTTAGTGGAGTTTGTCCTCTGCATGACCTTCCTCTAGAGGTGCTATAGAGCACAGAACATTCTTGAATATGCCTGGTGCATGTGATAGGATATGATCAATGAACATGCTCCAGGAAGGGACCAACTGAGTATGTGCAAGACTAATGTTACATAACTGGGAACCACCTCCTTCACTGAATATTCATTAGGTAGAGGAACTATAAAAGCAGAATCCCAGCCAAAGGTGGGTACCTTCCTCTAGAGGTGCTATAGAGCACAGAACATTCTTGAATATGCCTGGTGCATGTGATAGGATTTGATCAATGAACATGCTCCAGGAAGGGACCAACTGAGTATGTGCAAGACTAATGTTACATAACTGGGAACCACCCCCTTCACTGAATATTCATTAGGTAGAGGAACTATAAAAGCAGAATCCCAGCCAAAGGTGGGTTGCTGCTCACTTTCCTGGAGGTGACCTGCACTTTGCTGGCTGAGGTGTGTGTGCTTTGCTCTGTATCAAACTTACTTTCAATAAGCGCTGCTGGTTCTCTAGAGCCAGCCTGCACTTTGTACTGAACTTTAAGTGTGTTTTTCTTGCTTTTGTATTAGACTTGATGTCTGTACTGAACTTGCTTTTGTGTTAAACTTGGTGTGGGCCCTGCTCAATCTCTGGAGCGAGGCCGCACTCTCTCTGTGGAACCTGTGTTCTTATCTGTTACGTTAAAACTGTTCTCACTTTCTACTGTGACTGTGCCCTTGAATTCTGTCCGGTGGCGGAGTCAAGAACCCGGTCAGAGGACTTGTTGGGTTGAGGCCGACCAGTGGGCCCCCGAGACCTTACCTCCGACATCACTACCCCCACCCCAATCACTCTCTACCACTCACTCTGCTTGTTTAGTTTTCCTCCCTCAGCCTGGATCACCAACTCACCAGCGCTGCCTGCCTCCCTGCCCTCCAACAAAAGCTCCATTTTGTTCTCTGTTGCTTCCCTACTACCTAGAACAGTGCCTGGCACACAGTAGAGGATCAATGAGTATTTGCTGAATGAATGAATGAACTTCAGCAGTATCTTTAAAGTAAGCACAGCAACAAGTTCCATGGAGTTATTCTTATAATGCTCTCAACATAGGCCTGTGGCATTCAGGACAAGCAATTCCACTGGGGCCACATGATATGACCCAGGTATGTGGCTTTAGACAGGCTGGCTTAATCCTGGGATAGGTTTAATGTATTAAGAGGAAGGCTGTATTACATGGTCTTTAGGAAATTTTCCCCAAATGTAGTTTTTCTTGGTTGTACTTCTGAAAGGTAGTGAGAGGTAGTTGATTTGAAACTGTTGGTCCAGTGTGGAACACTGGCCTTAACAGTTAGCAAAGCTGGTGGAGGGGATGCCTTCCTATTGTGACAACTGAGACTCTGAACAAGGACAGGCACTAGAACTAAGAATACCCCACACTTCTGGTGCGTGAGCTGAGGAGTTTCAACAAAGTAAGATCAAGACTTTCTTCAGAGAGAGTAACTGCTGGCTCTTACACACCAACAAACGAGCACTGGAATCCTATAGTTCGATGCCATGAAACTTGGCCACAACAATTTTAGCCTGGGAAAAAAGTGAAAGCAGGTGCACTAATAACTCATTTCAGTTCTCACTCTCAGTAAATTACCTACAGAATATCTTACTCTCCACAAAGGAAGTTCTTAGTTAACCATCTAGGATAAGTTAGTTGCAAAACACACCTTTAAGTAATTAGCTACTCTTTAACAAAATTTGGAAGGGAACAAAAAAAATAAGGGAGAATAGTAAAGAATTAAAAATAAACAAATTTGTGAGATTTTTGTTAGGAAAAGATATACAATTCCTTGTTTCAATGATGTTCTCAGATATATTATCCAAAGAGCAAAAATGTGCTGAGAAGGATTAAGGTGGCCTAAATGGTTTTCTATGGTTAGATATAAGATACTATACCTCAGCTGCTATCAAGCTTAAAGTGTATCTTTATAATGGGGTCAGATACATTAGCACATTGCCTTGGAAAATTATCCAGATATTTTAAATAGTTCTGGGAAAAATAAAAAAGCTTACAGAATATTGGTAGAAAGCTACTTCATAGATCTAGGTTTAAATCAGTTTGCTTGCCAATTTTACTCAAGATGGTGTAGATTTTTACTACAATATACGTTTCAGAGGCTGCACACAGTTCTTCCTTTTGAATAAGTCCAGACCTTCAAGTGCTGGGCCACTTGGTCTCTCCTGACCCCTTCTTTACCCTTCCTATCTCTGCTGATTCCCTCAGGAATTCACGGAGGAAATAAGCAACCGTCAGCACATACCAGACATGTGGCCGTATGGTTTTGGAGCTGAGCCTACTAACTCTTGCATCTCTCAAGGCATATTCTATATCCATAATTGTGTAGCTAGAACCAAAAATACATCAGGGAGGCCCAGTTACCAAAGTCCTTAAGTTATTCAGTTGTCTTATTAGGCATGCTTTCTCCAAGACAGCCAAAGTAAAATACTATTACGTGAACACTCTGGAAAAGGATCTTAGTATATATTCTATGGACTTTCTGTGATGAGCATCTGTTTGGGTAGCTTGATTTCATTTTCTCTTATAATGAATAAGTTAAAACGTAAGCTCTTAGCACCCAAACTTCATGCCATGAATGTGATCAATTACAGTAATTCAAATTTTGTACCAAAATTTTCATGTTAAAATGCTGCTGATATTGATACAACAAATTTATGAACATTTCTAGGTAAAAGAGAGGCCATATGATAATATTAGGTTTATTTTATGCTTCATCTGAATTCACACTAGTTTTCTCTTCACAAATACTTCT